ATTCCATATTTCCATCACGCAGCGATTCCCAGCCCTCAGGCCGCCGCCGGCGGACAACCGCCTCTTCCTAATTTCCTCCTAATCCAGTTCGCCGCCCGCCGACGCTGTACGGCCGCGTCCTGCTAATTTCCTTCATAATCCAGTTCGCCGCCGACGACGCTGTACTGCCGCGTCCGTTTCAATTCCTGGGGCCTCCATCGTCTGATCGACACGACACGCTTTGCTTGTTCTCCGTCTGACCATCTCCAAAGTCTAGACTCTCTAGGCACGAGGTATATCATATTGCTGTTCATTGGATGCCGTTCAACAATTGACGCATCTTTGTCCAGCATTGTGTGTTATCATGTTGTCTAGAAAGTATGCAACGGATAGCGATAAAAGGCCAAGGAAAAAAAATGTTGATAACTGGTACAATCACACAGCGAAGATATTCAGAAAATTTTCTGTAGTGATAGTGTGATACCGGTGCTTCCACTGCTTTGATAAACTCAGATGATGAGTTGGCGATAGTAGCCAGATAGGAAGAACAACCAACTTATTGGAATTTGGAACCTGATCAGCAAGAAGAAAATGTTGACACCAACATCGACGATAACAATGTAAGTGGCTCCAACAATGTAGGAAATTCATCGGAGGCACACCCACAGTCAGCTAGTGTTGAGGAACAGCCTGTTTATAATGCTGACATTTTCATGATAAGTTTTTCAAAGTGGAAATTATTGAAGAAGTATCTAAGGTCCACAATGACTCAAGAAAGTTTAGATGATTTGGCAATTTCATGCCACGAGAAGAAATTACTAGATGAGATTCACATCAACCACATCATAAGTGACTTGCATCGAGAAATGTTAGAAGAAACTATTAAGGCAGTATGTATGAATTATTTTATATGCATACTGGTTTTGAATGCATTTGAGTGATATTCATAATATTTTATACATATGTATAGTCATTGTCATTGTTAAGGGCCCCAAATTTTAGTCTCGCCCCGGGCCCCCAAAACCTCAGGACCGGCCCTGAGTACCATGCGTCCTCACTTGCTCAAAAATTGAGTCGTCGCAGGCGGCCGCGTCAGGAAGAGAGCGACGGTGAGCAGCGCTGAACCCGTCATAGATGTGTGCCCACCAACCCTCAAATCATCGCCGGCTCTCCAACACTCGACGTGTTGTCGCCACCCTCACAGAGCTGGTGCATCGCTGTTGGGGAACATAGTAGTTTCAAAAAAAATCCTACGCACACGCAAGATCATGGTGATGCATAGCAACGAGAAGGGAGAGTATCGTCCACGTACCCTCGTAGACCGTAAGCGGAAGCGTTATGAGAACGCGGTTGATGTAGTCGAACGTGTTCACGATCCGACCAATTCAAGTACCGAACGCACGGCACCTCCGAGTTCAGCACACGTTCAGCTCGATGACGTCGCACGAACTCCGATCCAGCAGAGCTTCACGGGAGAGTTCCATCAGCACGACGGCGTGATGATGGTGATGACGTTGTTACTGACGTAGGGCTTCGCCTAAGCACTGCTACGATATGATCGAGGTGGATTATTGTGGAGGGGGGCACCGCACAAGGCTTGGAACAATCAACTTGTGTGTTCTAGGATGCCCCCTGCCCCCGTATATAAAGGAGCAAGGGGGACTCCCCTTGCCTACTCCTACTAGGAGGAGGAAAGGAAGGAGGAGAGGGAGAATGAAGGAGAGGGAGGAAAGGAGGAAAGGGGGGCCCGCCCCCTAGTCCAATTCGGTTTGGGCTAGGGGGGCCGCGCGCCCTGCCTCCTCTCCTCCACCACTTGAGCCATGAGGCCCAATACTTCTTCCCCGTATTCCCGTAACTCCCCGGTACTCCGAAAAATACCCGAATCATTCCGAACATTTCCGATGTCCGAATATAGTCGTCCAATATATCGATCTTTACGTCTCTACCATTTCGAGACTCCTCGTCATGTCCCCGATCTCATCCGGGACTCCGAACTACCTTCGGTACATCAAATCACATAAACTCATAATACCGATCGTCACCAAACGTTAAGCGTGTGGACCCTACGGGTTCGAGAACTATGTAGACATGACCGAGACACGTCTCCGGTCAATAACCAATAGCGGAACCTTTCATATTGGCTCCTACATATTCTATGAAGATCTTTATCGGTCAAACCGCATAACAACATACATTGTTCCTTTTGTCATCGGTATGTTACTTGCCCGAGATTCGATCGTCGGTATCTCAATAGCTAGTTCAATCTCGTTACTGGCAAGTCCCTTTACTCGTTTCCGTAATGCATCATCCCGCAACTAACTCATTAGTAGCATTGCTTGCAAGCCTTATAGTGATGTGCATTACCGAGAGGGCCCAGAGATACCTCTCCGACAATCGAAGTGACAAATACTAATCTCGATCTATGCCAACTCAACAAGTACCATCGGAGACACCTGTAGAGCACCTTTATAATCATCCAGTTACGTTGTGACGTCTGGTAGCACACAAAGTGTTCCTCCGGTAATCGAGAGTTGCATAATCTCATAGTCATAGGAACATGTATAAGTCATGAAGAAAGCAATAGAAGTAAACTAAAACGATCAAGTGCTAAGCTAACGGAATGGGTCAATTCAATCACATCATTCTCCTAATGATGTGGCCCCGTTTATCAAATGATAACCCATGTCTATTATTAGGAAACATAACCATCTTTGATCAACGAGCTAGTCAAGTAGAGGCATACTAGTGACACTCTGTTTGTCTATGTATTCACACATGTATTATGTTTCCGGTTAATACAATTCTAGCATGAATAATAAACATTTATCATGAAACAAGGAAATAAATAATAATTTTATTATTGCCTCTAGGGCATATTTCCTTCAGTCTCCCACTTGCACTAGAGTCAATAATCTAGATTATACAGTAATGATTCTAACACCCATGGAGCCTTGGTGCTGATCATGTTTTGCTCGTGAGAGAGGCTTAGTCAACGGGTCTGCAACATTCAAATCTGTATGTATCTTGAAAATCTCTATGTCTCCCACCTGGACTTGATCACGGATGGAATTGAAGCGTTTCTTGATGTGTTTGGTTCTTTTGTGAAATCTGGATTCGTTTGCCAAGGCAATGATAACCCATAAGTATAGGGGATCGCAACAGTTTTCGAGGGTAGAGTATTCAACCCAAATTTATTGATTCGACACAAGGGGAGCCAAAGAATATTCTCAAGTATTAGCAGCTGAGTTGTCAATTCAACCACACCTGGAAACTTAATATCTGCAGCAAAGTGTTTAGTAGCAAGGTAATATGATAGTAGTGATAACGGTAACAAAAGGTAACGATAGTAAAAGTAATGTTTTTGGTATTTTGTAGTGATGATAGCAATAGCAACGGAAAAGTAAATAAGCGAATAACAATATATGGAAAGCTCGTAGGCAATGGATCAGTGATGGAGAATTATGCCGGATGCGGTTCATCATGTAACAGTCATAACCTAGGGTGAC